CTTTCTGGGCTGCAAGTGCACATTGCTGGATCATGTTGAGTCTTATCCACCAGTATCCTCGAGTCCTTCTTGGTAGGGCTTCTCTCAGTTCATTCACCCTCTAGCCTGTCTTGGCACCAGGGTTTTGCTTGACCCAGGTGCAGCACCTTGTACTTGGTCTCATTTAAGTTGCAGTTATTACTGTTAATTGTAGAATGCATTTGATTCTTTGCTGCTCCATCAATGAAAAGAAAAATCACCTGCCCATCATAGATCAGTTGTAAGCTTCTAGTCAGGTTCGAAGTAATTGTAACCTTGAGTATCAAAATTGCTTTTATTCAAAAGGGTTATCTATATACAGTGTAAGATTTTATGCAGAATATGCCAAATCTGATTTCTTTTTCTCTGCTATTGTGCATCTCTGCAGAGAAATAATAAAACGGATTGCACTTTTTTAAAAATAGTTCTGTTTCACGCTTGGGATGTTAAAGATAGCAAAATGTTTTTTCTGTTACTGCTGTAGAGCTTTGCCTGAAAACTGTCACATCCTCAGTGGGGTATACTACTAGTCCTGATGGGAAGTTAGTATTTTTTTTAGAGCTTTGAAAGAAAAGGGTGGGAGGATTGGTTTCTGTGTAGCATAAGGAGTGACTTCACACACTTGCACGTACAACTGCCAAAATACTTTTTTTGAAATTAAGCAAAGCAACCTGGAGGGAACATTTGGCAAGCTTATACTGTGGCCAGCAGCCCTCTGTCACAGTCTTCCCCATTTGCTTCATGTTTGAATTTTAAGAGATGAAAAGAGCATTTTATGAAGAGCAATTTCTTCCCATGGGTAATGGAGTCACAGGAGACTCCTCAAGTGCATGGTAGTTCACTGACACCTCTTTTTAAATGCCATGGTGATTCCCTTTTGTGTGATGTAAATACAGATTCACATTAATCTTCCAGTCCTGGGTTGCTTTTGTCATGACTAGGTAACAGAYGAAGAGTGGAACTGGAATAAATTGATACTTTCTTCCATAGGCTCACAAATTGGTTGAATGGCAATTTTGGGGTGTTTTTTATACTTGCTGTATTGAATCTAGACTGATCTCTATTTGGGTAGCCTTTCTTACAGTTTTGTAAGTTGCTCTTACAAATTCTTGCTGTATTTCACCCCTTCCTGTCCAAGGTGTTGTCTCTCAGTTTCTTCCTTTCTGGAGACATGGGTTTAGGGACACTTGCCAGTTCCTTTTAAAACAGCCAATTTCTTCCCTTCCCATTATTTTAGCTGGCTGTAATACCTTGGCTAAATAAGATCAAACAGTCCACATGCGCCTGTGTCCCTTTTCACTTCTCTTCTGTCATTTCCTGATGTCCCTGTAATTCTTGATTATCCTGAGCCCATTTCAACCAAGCATAACAGAGAAGAATGTAGATTGCAAAGACAGTGCTGTCCTTGAAAGCTTATCAAGGCTGAAATCACCAAAATAGCCAAATAGATAGCTGCTGGCAGATACACATAAAGCTTCTCACATACAGATCTGCCTGAAAACTTGGAAACTGTGCAGTAGAAGACACAGTGATGAACAAAGGAGAAGAAAACTCTTTTCTTTTTSTAAGAGTCTTGTAATAGTAGTAAGAATTGCAGAGGAATGCTGGAATAATGCAGCATATGACTTGAATGTGCTATAGGCTGTCATGATCCTGGGGTACATATCTGTTACTTGTTAGGGTGCCAAAGACTTGAAGAAAATTACAGCTTTTCATGTTTAGGGTCTCTCCAAAGATCCTGCAGAATGGGAAGGTAGGTTTCTGCTCTGGACAAAATAATTGTTCTTTCCATAGGAATTCTGTGAGCAGTGGCCAAAAAATACTTACTTGAAAACCTTGGGGAAACTATGTCAGAGGACAAGAAGAATGTCAAATTTGAAATAAAGCTGGAATTCCTCAGTGGAGTTCTCCAGAGTATGGGGATGTGACTTGGACTGAGGCATTACCAGTTGCTCATTTTCCCTGCRTTTGTGTAAAGCAGATGAAAAATGCATTTTGTGTCTGAAATTGGAACTTGGAAAACTAAGTTCTGTTTGGGAGCAAGACTTGTGTCTAATAAGCAACTGGCTGTGTTACTTAGTGAATCACCATGGTGGTTGAAATGCTCTTTTTTATTTCTAGGGTCTCTAATGTAAGTATAAATTTGAATTGGGATTGGTTTTTGTATATATSGTGTCTGTTGCAAATACAGTGAATTGCATTTGGGTTTTGTTTGTKRTTTTTTCCTTCCCTTCAGTTAAAAAAAAATAAAATCAGTGGGCTATGTAAAAGGGAAACTTAGAAATAACTTGAAGGTGTTTAGTTTCATATTTGTTTTTGGTCTGTGGTTACTAGTATGTGTTTTTTTATAAACAGTTATTCTGAAATAGAATTTTCTTGTTCTCTGGCTACTGTCTCATGAGGAGAACGTAGAAAAACATATGGGGATGAAGTGTTGAACTAAACATTATATAACAATCTAAGTAATACTTACATTAAATAATTGTCCTGAATGGTTTATATTTACACAAATAATTGTCCCTCTTTCTTGGTGGGGTATCTGTATGCTTTGTATGGAAGAAAGAGTTCATTTTCCAGAAACTTGACTTTGTTCCTAGTCATTCCAGMATGTTTTTCTTCCAGATGTGGTCGAACATTAAATATTACTTATGGCTTTACTGTGGTAGCTCAAGGTAGCTCAAGGTCCCAGATGTGCTTTGCACCCTTTGGGGCCAGAGCAGTCAAGAATGTGGTGACCTGTGTGTGTCATACCTGAAACAGGGCTCTTCCAGCCCTCACTGCCACGTCTGGCTCTGATTAGAAACATACAGGCACAAAACCTCTCCTCTTTAGAGGGCCACAGGCTCATGTTTTGACGATTCACAGTCTGAAATCTGTCAGRAAGAATAAGGCTACAAGAGTAAGAGAATGTTAGAAATGTTGGAAGCAAATAATTTTGAAGCCTTATTTGTCAAGATTTTCAGAGAGGACAAAGATCATCATTGATTATGATTTGCCAGAAAGTTGATAGCCTCTGAATTCAGACCCCAAATGACTAAAGTAAACCTGCTTGAAGGAATGGGATCCAGTAAATGTTAACAGATGCAGAAGGAAATTGCTTCCCCCTTTTCTTATTTCTTACTTCTTCTCCTTGAAACTCTTGGAACTTTGTCCTTTTGTTCCCTCGTAGAACTGCTCTGGCTCAAAATACATCTCTAAAATAAGTTGTCTAGAAGTAGTATTTGGTCTGGGGAATGTAAATTCGCTCTATGATTTCAAAAAGGTGTTAGCTTTTATAGGAGGGTAAGCAACAACAAAAGCAACATGTGAAGCATTGGGCACCTCTTCACATACGTGTGCTATTATCACACTTGTCCAGWAGCATCTTGGCTGGCTTGCTAGTCTGCTTGCTTTGATGACACTGAATCTGTAGCTGAGGTTGTTTTGCTGATTTTGTTTAAAGACTGGGAGTATAATGGTGCCTCACACCTTGTGGTTACTGAATTGTTTAGCTGAGATCAGCCTCTCTCAGAATTCTAACACAGAAGTTGCTCTTTGATGTTGTGTAAAGAATTGCAGGGGCTCAAACATCTCTGCTGATGGTTTTCTATTGCCAGTGGTGTGAAGCACAGCGGCTACTTTAGGGTACTTTATCACCTGTTTTTGTGCAAAGTARTGGCTCAATTTCTCTTCCCCAAGTGGACCTTGGATACTCTTCAGAAAAAATGGTAGTTGAATATATGAAAATTTAGTGATACATCATATTTTACACTTCATAATTTTAATTGAAAACTACTAGTATAATGAAGAAAAACATGTAAGAGAGGAACTACAGGAAGTTGGTTTTGGAGGACACTAGATCAAGTAAGAATTACTGTAACTGTGGTTTAAAACAGTTTATATGTAGTCTGTTGAGTGATGGAAGAAGGCTTTGCTACAGCTGTTCTTAGTAGTTAATCCTGAAAGAGATGATTCCTTCCAAATTAATGCTCTTTATCCCTACTGGATATAGTTTTTTTTGCATGTACATTGATAGTCCCTGATCTTGTCCTGGCCTTGTGAAACTGCGGGTTGGTGTACTAATATGCCATTGGGCCACATAAATTTTGCTCTTTTGATACTCAGATCTGTCACATTTCAAAACCTGTGAGTTGCAAGCACTTCTTGTAGGTTTGTGTCAGAGTAGGAAACGTTTGCTCACAAGGCTGGTGAGCTCTAGATCTGGCTCCTTTTCTGGTGTTCTCCAATCAGTGGCATTATCACATTGCACCATACACACCTTCCTGCAGTTACCAGCATATTCTTTCTGCAGACTGCCTTTGCTTTAGAGAGGACTTTCTGAAGAAAAAGTAACCTGTGATGTGGTCCATCAAGTCAYGAGACCATTTGGAAAAGCAAAAATGTAACCATTTGTCTTTTAAAATTGCACTTTGTGTTGGGAGTTGTTTTGTTCTCAGCTGGTGGTACCACAGGACTTCTCTGGTGCTTGCCTTGAGCATCAGAGTAGAACCATCTGCATCACTCTGGCTGAGGGCAGTGTTCTCTTCTTGCAATGAAGAGTTGCTGTGCAATAAAGCAAAAAGTGTGTAGTACTTGAGATCATAATGAGATTCTGTAATCATTTGTTAAACACATTTTGRTGTTGTTAGTGTTTAGTGTTTTAATGAGTAGCTGTGCTGGCACTATGAAATACATGTAGTTTCTGTCCTGAATAACTGCAGCAAGAGGTATGGTGGTCCTTTTGCATCCAGTTTGTATAAATCATGTTGAATAAAAGCAGTGTTAATTATAGCATTTTCTTTTTAGAGTTTGCAGCCTGAAAAATATTTTTATGAGTGTCTAGTGTTTTTTATTCTCACAAAGACACTAATTTGCTTGGAAGGCACCTACCATCAGTGCCAGCAGCACTGCCTTGAGCATCCTTTACTGTACTGCTATGACAGCATCTGTAACCATTGTAAATTGTTTCCCTCACCTCTGCCCACTTCTGTCTCCTCTCACAGCAAAAGCCAAATCCAAATGTGGTGCCACATTCTTCCCCTGCGCCAGTGGGATCCACTGCATCATTGGCCGCTTCCGGTGCAACGGCTTTGAGGACTGTCCTGATGGCAGCGATGAGGAGAACTGCAGTAAGTGGGACCCTGCTTGCAAGTGAGGGCATGGCTGTGTATTTCAACTAATTGATGCTACTTAGAAAGGAAACATTCAGTGGCCTTCAGTTCCTGAGTCAGATATTCTCCCTGTCCTTTAAGGCACAGATGATCCTTGGCTTTTCACCTCATGGTTGAATCTCCCCTTTTTTTTAAGGTCTGTCTCAGTCTTGCTTTTATATAATACCTGTATGATATTTCAAGCCCCTGAAATGTGTTTTAAGCTGCATATTTGCTTTGAACATGCTCTGTGTACTCAAATGTAATTCAAATTGGGCTAATGTTAAATACCATTTGAATTTTTCCTTTTTAATTTTCCTATTTCTTATCACTGAAGAATATGATGTATTTGGTCATCAGCACATTTAGGTTTCTCTGTTTATACATGTTCTCAAACAACAAAAATGCAAATAATGGCATATTTAGCCAAGCAGGTTCTTGGAAGGAGAAGGAGGTTCTTGAAGCCAGACATGCCTGCCAATGCACAGCAGCAGGGAAGTTGTAGCAGAGAGATGGTCTGAAGTACTGCTTGTTTTGGGCTAAACCCTCTGCGTGTAGCTGCACAGATTGATTTGTATCTGTAAGTCCAGCAGGGATGTATCTTGGCAGTAGGGAAAAGTGATGTTGAATCCAGCAGCTCTGTTGTTACTATCAAGAGCTGGTAAAAGCATGGGTCTCTAGGTGAAAGCTTGCACCAAAATATTTGCTCATTCTCCTGTCAGAGAGCATGCTGAGGTTTTGTTTTCAATGACTTTTAAAGGTCAGGAGGAGGACAACAGACAGCAKCTTTCAAAGATAACAAAAGGGGCAATCTTTACAGTGATCTATCACTGTCTGCTTGATGGAGGAGGACTTGCCTTTCTTGTTGGTGGTTGGTGTGCTTTCCCTCACAGCACGAACTTCTCTTAAGGTGGCATCTGTTGTTGGCCTGGAGAGTCTGGTTTGGCCCTGCAAGGACTGTGGCACTGTGGCAGGGAATCAGCACTTCGGCAGAGCAAGTGAAGCTAGAGAAACATTGAAGGCTCAGAAGATTACTCTGGATTAGGCTTGAACAAATGGACTAAAAATAGGCTTTGCCAGAGTGCTTAGAATATCCTTGAAGTGGTGGACTGACAAGTGGCAGGTCTCAACTGAAAGTGCCCCAGCTTATGGAATTGATTAGGAATGGCACGATTGGCCATGAGTGTATAGTGTATAGCTCCAATGGGACCTTACTGATGCTAACATGCTGCTGATCTCCCCATTATTCTATCCCAATGAAGCACTTGTTTTCTAGCATGCCTAAATGTCTGCTTATAGTCCCTGCTTATGAAGAGGAACAGCCATGTAGGTTCTAGGGTGACCTCRGCAATCAGTGTGGTGTGCAAGTTTGTGGCAGTTTCAAACCAAAGTAGCTTTAGCATGTTCATCCTAAATGTGCTCTTGGAAAGCTGGAGGAATTGGCAGTGTTTGTTATATGTACTGCAGGTTATATGTAGGGCAGACTTCAAGGYTTTTGAGGTTTTTTTAAAAACTCTTAAGTGTAGCTCTTACTTTAAAGAATAAAAAATGGAAGCCAATTAGTGTTTGGAAGCTGTAAACCCTTTTGTTGTTGTGGCAGAGAAGCAATTTGAAGTAGACAAGACATCTAAGCATGTTTATAATTTTCAGTTGGAAAGTTGCATGCTATTTCAGTCCCCCCTTTACCAAAAACTGTTCAGAGTTCAGAGAAGAGTGCCAAAAATGATTAAAGAACAGCAGTTGATTTGTGAGTAGATATTAAAAACAGCTAAWTTATACATATCTCAGTTAAGTAATGATTGTGTTGAAGGATGAGGTTATATATGATGTATATGAAGGGTGCAAACACYGTTCTTTAAAAAATAATTGAGATTCCAATGAGAGGCTGCAAGATTTCAACATTGTTGCTATGTCAATTCAAGATAGTGAGGAGAATGGGTAGAAGAAGAGAAGCTGAGGTAAATGAACCACTGCCTGGCAGTTCTCAGTCAGAATTGTTGTCTTACAGTATGAAACTTAGGTTAAACTGAGTCTTCTGTGATGGGAGTCAGCAGGCAGTGTTTATGATAGGCAGTTCTACCCTCCATATGTCTTCAGTGTGAGCAARTATGGAACAGTGATCATGATTGGGGCTCTCATGAAAATGAACAGAAGGCTTATCACAACGGTGGGTGGGCTAAATCTCTGCTAATTGTAATGAATCCTGCATAAAYTAGAATTTCAGCTCTCCCTGTTTAGAAAGCCAGGGTTGGTTTGATTGCCAGGTTACTCCCACATAGCCAGCAAATTGACCAGCTGTTGAGTTGTGACCTGTGGTTGATGCTTATGAGCTATTTAACTGCCTGGGCAAGAGAATTTCTAAATTTAACTTCCTGGGGAAGAGAATTTCTAATGAAAGATYTCACTTTCTCTTTTTGCAGCAGCAAACCCCTTGCTTTGCTCTACTGCCCGATTTCACTGTAAAAATGGTCTGTGCATTGATAAAAGCTTTGTGTGCGACAGTCAGAATAACTGCCAAGACAACAGCGATGAAGAAAGCTGCGAAAGCCCTCAAGGTAGGCACAGGAGCTTTATTCTATTCTGCAATATTGTACCAACTCAAGTGAACACAGAAAAGGCTCAGCAGAAAATATGATTGTTGGCTTACTCTATGTTGGCTAGAGCTGCAGACAGCGAGAAGGAAATGTGTAGAGTGTGTGCACATGCATACATTGCATTCTCAGTGCTCGGAAGACTGGTATCTTTTTCAGTTTGTAAAAACATGCTTTTTCAGGAAGTGCTTATAATCTGTGATCCACTGCTTACTGAAGTTGCTAGGAATCCATTTAGTACTTCTGTGAGATGGATTGGACCCAGGGGATTTGATAGTAAAACCTCAGTTGGAAGCAAATCTGTGTACTTACCAGATGAGTAAATCTTGTGTATGCTTAAAGCTTTAGATCTTCATTGCTCAGTTACCTTCTGAAAGGCATGTTTARCTGCAGGACAGGTCTACACTGAAAGCATTTATTCCTACCCTTCCCCTGAAGACAGGGAAGAAAATTTTTATTTGAAATTTTTGTGTATTGAGTCTTGTGAGAATCTCAAAAGAGAGTCTTTGACATTTTTATTCTTTTCAACCTCTCATATCAGTTTACAGGGAGAATCTCAAAACACAGTCTTTGACATTTTTATTCTTTTCAACTTCTCATATAAGTTTACAGTGAGTGCTTCCAAGTTTTGTGTTCTGTAACTTAATACCACAGTATTTTATAGAACATGGAGCATATGTGAATGACATGAGATTAACAAACAGTAGGTATTGGGCATCTGCTGCTAAACATTTTAATGTCTGAGTTACTACCAAGAGACCAGAATAGAAAAAATACGGGAGATAGTGGATATTTTCAGGGGAGATGTGATGTGCTTTAGCCTATAGAAAACAGAATACATGAAAAGAGATAAAGTAGCATATGAAGGAAAAAGTAATTAGTGAAATTGAAGGAGAATTACTTTCATATCTACCTTCACYGATCACTTAATCCTTTGTGAAAAAGTAAATAATCCTGAGCTTAAGATGCTGATAAATATTCTTGACAAGTCACAGAGAAGAGGAAAAATGCGCAACAGCAGTGCCAACAAAACAGGGTTTATAGCAGTGGTGTGTGACAGTCTCTTCTGTKTCATACCTCTGCTTAACCTAGGGGCTCTTTCCTTGGCTGCACATGTAAAGATTGGAGGGCTCACCTTGATAACTCTTCTGCACGTTGAGCTACGTCAGGGCCTGGGAATGTGGCTCAGCTCAGATCAAAGCCTCAGAGAGGGTCTGGGCTGCCTGTGCTCTGTGTTGGGAATGGGGGCGAAGGGGCTGCCCAGGGACTACGCGTGTGCAGGGCTGGACTGTTCTTCACTATGGCTCTAAGGCAGCCTAATAASATTAAATGTGGGTGGTAAGGTTTGGTGTTAGGTTTCTTTTGCTTTCTCTCATTTTATTTGCTTCTGAAGCTTAAAGCAGCRGTGCTGTTCTCCTAGGTTAGGATGGCTGCTTCCTCGGCAGATTAATTGGCTGGATTGCCTCCAGGTTGTTTGTTGTCATGACAATCTGCTTTTGGAACTGACTGTCAGGCTCAAGAGAAGAAAAGAGCTGCATTTCATGAAGCCTTTATTTTTGTCTTCATATTTGTCTTTCTGGAAATGTTAGATTAGTAAGAAGGKTAAGCAAAGTAATGTGTGAAAGAGGCCCAAACAAGGAAGAAGGAACTCTCTCTCATTAGGACAAGAACATCCATGGTTGTAGACTTTCTAATTTAAAAAAAAAAAAAATTAGTCCAAGTATGGTATTGGGAGCAAGGAGTTCCCAAAGTGAAATGCTGGTTGTGGGKAGCCTGTGTGATTGGCTTTTCCCTTTGGCAGCTCAAAGCCTCCCTCAATTGCTGTTTCACCGTCTGTAAGTGGACAACACATGGGTAGCTGTCTTTCAAAGCAAGGATTAAAACAGTGTAGTGGTTCAACTTCCCTTCTGAATGCAAATGGCAATTACCTGTGGAGTTTGCAGCTATGGGTATGTTTGTCCTGGCTTGCAAACACACCAACTACTTTGTGTTAATTGGGAATTAGAGGCTACTGTGGACAGTCTTTGATTTCTCACAATTCTTTCTACATCAGATCTAATTACTGTAATTACAATGTGTTTCTTGTTAACCCAGTACCGAAGAATCCTGGTCATTAACTAGAACTCAAGTGCTCTGGGTACTTAGGGACAGAGCAAGGCAAACCCKGGAGAGTGTTATAAAATGAAGATTCCCACTGGCTATGTTGTGTCAGGTGTGGTAGCTTGAGTTCAGCGTAATTGTGTAAGAGTGTAATCTGACATATGAGATTGTCCTTGTGTGCTATTTTTCTGTCAGTAAATGTGTTGATTTAGACGTCACTAAGCTTCTGAACCACCGCATGATAGTGTCATTATCACCATTTAACAGGGGAAGAGAGGGCATAGATCAGCTAAAGGAAATGCTCCCTGAGTGCCATCATGGCTGCTAGGAATAGAACTTCAAACGTGCTTGTCTGCTTCAGGGGCATGTCATTAGACTTAATCAATGTTTGCAAACTGTTTGGAGGTACTATGATAACATGAGAAATAGGAGTGTGAATTATTAATTGATACTTTGCTCTCCTTCTGCTCTTGGGTATACTGACAAGCTTTTTAAATTATCACCTCTTCCTGCTCTTCCATGAACTTCAAAGGCCTCCTTTATCCTGCTGTCATTACTGGAAAGCTCCAGTRGCATATCAGTTTGGTTTGTGTCAGATACTGCTCCATACATGAGGATCCTTTCAGTCAAGAAAGGTGACTCTGCAGACCMGGAAAACAGGAATGTGGCCTCCTACTGAAATAGATATTGACCCMGCTTTGACATGGAGCACTTCAAAATGTGCCATCCTCGATGAATAATAGCTTTTAGCATTCTGCAATTTGAGATGAACCTGAATAGGTGCATTTATAATGATTAATTCTRGTCACAAAAAATAGCAGACTTACTTGAGGGAGAGACTCATGATTTAATTTTGAAAATCAGAGGAACATCAAATTTGAAGGATGTTCCTGCCCTCCTTTCTCCTTACCACTTGTAACAGAGTGTTATGTATTTACAAAGGTTTATATGTCATGGGAAAAGTGTCAGATTAAACAGCACTAATTTAACASCAAGTCAAAGAATTCTTCTCTAATTCCTGGCAGAAGTTATTATCTGTAGCTCTTGTTGCTGCCATGATAAACTTCAGAGCTATTCTTTYAATCCCACCCCAGGTCTACTTTGGTCACCTTGGTTTTCCATCAGTGAAGTAGCATGGCAAAATATTTCCCTTAATCTGGACTGTGGTGAATTCATCCAAATATGTGCTTGAGTCTTGGGATTGGATAGAGGATACAATTGCTTGGATTATTCACACCAGTCAAATACATGAATTGCTTATGAATTGTTCTTTCTAGGACGTTACTCCAGATTTAACAACACCAGCAGTGATTAGAAATTTCTGCTCCTGTACTGTGTTTAATGGATCTCAATTCAGAGGAAAGTTTCTCTCCCCCACACAYTTCTTTCTTCTATGCCTCTATTTAGCTGTCAGTGCTAATGATTCATGGCATCTGCTCTGGGTGTACTCCTTGGACCTGCCTGTTGCTGGGGGGATTTCCTCTTCTGTGACAGGGATTCTCTCAGCTGGAAAGGAATTACTCCTTCTCAGTGTCTTCCAACAACAATGTAAATTCGTTCAGTTTTAGGACTGTGTTTAATTTATTCTCTTAATTAGTTTGGATTTTTCTAATGTAAATATTGTCCTCCCAGTGCTTCTTCTCCTCCATTTTGTACTTTAGTTTAGAAGGCTTTAACACTAACAAATGCATTCTGGGTAATTTAATTTAAACCCATTTTTCTTTCATGGCCCTTCTTTTCTTTCCATCCAAGTTTGCTAAATACCTTTACTAGCTTTAACCCCGTTGCCTAGGAAAGGAAGTTTTATTGCTGCTGGTCTGTGTTCACTCTGTCTGCTGCTGTTRACTTCAGTAATATCCCTGAAATTGTAGCTCTGCAGTTGTTTACAAACAGTACCACTGTGGTCAAGTTATAAACCAAATGTTTTGTAATTGTTCAGAAATTAATTCTTGTCCTGTGTATTTGGTAATGTCTGCTGTTGCACATGTGGATACCTCCTCCTTTTTTTTTTTGCATGTCTTTTCACTGAATTTGCATTAGGATTTTGATACACTCCAGTATTCTAAAACAAATTTAAAAGTATACACAGTTTTAGAAGTCTCAATTCTTTTCTCTGTGGCATGCATAAACTGCTGTATAAAACTTCTCAGCATATTAAAAAATAAAAAATCTGACCCTATTCAATTAAGTGGAAAACTGTTCAAAATGTGGGCTTACTAAAATAACTTTTTAAGTGATAATATGAATTTTGTAATGATAATTTCTGTGGATTAAGTTATAGGCAAAGCTGGAAGTAGACTGGCTGTGGAGGTAAGCACTAAGGCCATTGCTAATGTTTGCATGATTGAGTTGCAATGCAAAGTGGGTTTTAGAACAGACAGCTAAGTGGAACAGACGTATTCTAAATTTCAATTAAATACCACAAAACCTAATTTATGAAACACAAATAGCTCCCAGAACATCCCACTCCATATGGAGCTTGTAACCAGTCCTTTGCATGTGGTAAATTGAAAATCTGAAATTCCCCAATGCTGTGGTATCACTTAGACATCCCAAGGCTTTGTTGTCTGATCCTGTCTGTATACGTTTCCTTTTGTTGAGTCTCTCTTTGACTCATTATTGTCTAAGTCTGTAAACTGAAGCTCAACTTGCAATTATTGTGCATAATCTTAGCCCAGATTCAGCCTACAGCAGGAGTTTAATACTCAGAGGCAGACTGAATAGAAGCAGAAGTTTAAGGAAGGATACAAATAAAATGTTTTATTAAATGAAGTCTTTGCCTGACCATATTTAACTCTGTAATATCCTTCTTTTGTAATACTTGCTAGATGGAAATGTTTTTGTTAGCTGTGAATATTTTCTTT